GTGGAGGACCTCCTCGCCTGCCGCCTCGTGTGCAAGCGGCTCGGGGAGCTGACGAGACACCCCGCCGTGTGGTGCCGCCGGCGCTACGAGGCCGAGGGGGGCACCATGGGGCCTTCCTTGGGGCGGGCCGGGGAGGGACTGCGCCCCCGCGGGAACTGGCTATGGGGGGCGGCGGGGGCGTGTGGCAGCGAGGCCCTCCTCTCTCTCTCCCTTCCTCCCTCCTGAAACACGAGCGGGCCCAGGTTAATGAGCAGCGACGGGAGTATGTTTGGGAAACAAATGAAGTCCGCGAACAGAGAGGGGCGGGGTGAGGGGGGGGGGCAGAGCAGAGCGAGAGGAGCGGGCCTGCTGGACCAATGCCGCAGACCTCCGAGCGAGCGAGCCGAGCGGAGGCGAAGCAGAGCGAGTAAGTGAGTGAGCGAGTGGGGGAGAGAGACCACCTTGCGGGCAAAACAAACATGGCACGCAGCTCGTTAGCCCATCACAACACGACGGTGGCGGCCCTCGCGACAAAAAGCGGTGCAGCGCCGCAACGGTCGAGTTAACCTCCACAGAGAAGGTAGGAAGGAGGTTCACAGCAAAACATCTTTTTCCCTCCTCATCCTAGTTTTTTTTTTCTTTTTTCAAAAACGACAATCGTTGTACAATGGCCTTGCACTCCCGTGATATGGAGAGTGTGCGCAGTGCGGCCAGTGCAGCACGACGCTGTCGTGCAACGCGCCCGAGTGCTGCGGGTTTGCCTACGCTCCGGCGGCTCCCATAGAGGTAGGCAGGTAGGAAAACACGCGGTACTCCCTGTTCGCGCCAACGGCACGGCACCGGGGTCTCCTCCTTGTGCCGCGGTACGTACCGTACGGCCTCTACGGCCTCCTCCGCGTCGGCCTCCAACCGCCCGGCTCAAACTTTTGTGTGCACCACAGGTGGTTAGCGCGGCCGCGAAAGATTGCACTTGTGCCTCCTCCCCCCGCCCGCTCCCCGCCCTCCTCATCAACCGAGCGCGCGCAGCCCCTCTTGCTCTCCCTGCCTCTCGTAGGAATGCAGTTCAACTCCCCTTTAGTAATTAAGAATTGTAAGAAGCTTTGCGCCCGAGTGAATCAACTACTCCCATAAAAGTAACTTTTTATTGCAAACGCGCGGGGGCGGCGGGTAGGGGAGGAGGGGCACAGAGACAGAGCGGGAGGAGGAAAGGCGGGGAGGGACTCGGGGGCCGGCAGAGCGCTGCGCCTTACGGTCTTCACGGAAGTCATAACGCTTAGGCGAAATGGTCCTTGTATACGTTTGTTGAAAACGTTGAGATGTTCCTTTCTGTTAGTGAGGCCAGGGGCGGCGGCGGCGGGGGCGGCTCGATGGGGGCGGAGGGCTCGAGGGCGGCGTGCGCGTGCCGCCGCCGCGGTCACTACTTCTACTTTCAGGCACCGCGTCCTGAAGCAGAGCGACGACGACGCGGGGAGTTCCGCGGGAGCAGACGACATCACGCCGCCGCTGCTGTTTACTCTCAGATTCTTGCCACTACTGCCGCGCCTTGTCTTGTTCCAGCTGATGTTTGTATGTTGTTAATACGCGCGCGCCCGGCCCCCCTGTCACCCTGGGGATAGGCAACCCCTCCGACATGGTTCGCATTACCATACATATCGTAGAGGAGGAGGGGGGGGGGGGGCGCCCGTCCTAAGGTGGGCCGCGCCAGGTCCTATCCTGGCTGCCGCTCTTTCCTGATTACCTCCCCCGCTCTCCCCCTTTCTCTCCCCCATTTCCCTTCAGGGTGAAGTGAAGCCTTTCCCTCCAGGACGCGGGGAGCAGGCAGAGTCGTTGGAAGGGCAGCAGCCGCCAACGCGGAGGAGAAGATGAGGGGAGAAAGAAGGGGGGGGGGGGGCGCTCTACAAGAGAAAACGACTGAGTAAGAGGCCCCCTTGCTTCGAAACCCCCCGCCGTTGTGCTACTGGACTGCTTTGCGAAATTAAACCAAGTCAGCTGCTGCTGCAGCAAGTACTACAGACAGGACAGTCTGAAATACTTTTTTCTTTGTTCGTCCTGCTCGGGCGACGCACCGACTGCTCTTCTGGCGCAGGGCGCGCTGGTCCTGCAGGCTGCAGCAGTGTGCCGCTAATGTCACAGCCCGCCAGCTGCAGCCGTTGTGCAGCCAGCAGCTGCAGTCGGCTGCGGGGCCCGGCCGTTAGCCAGCTGCAGGCCCTGCAGGTGCGGCGGCCCTACATCAGCCCGGCACAGCCCAGCCCACCAGGGGCTAATTAACTGGCAGTGCGTCTGCGTTGTGCAGCACACACACGAGGTGCAGCGGCGGCAGTGCCCCAGCCCAGCCACACCACATTACGGCAATAATAATAATAATTACAAAATAAAAAGTTGTGCCGACTCTTGGCGTCGTTGTTTATCTCGTCAGAAAAACAAAGCGCAGCTCCGACGATGGAAAATGTGGAAAAACACGGTCAACCTGTGTTGGCAGTGTTGGCTTTCCGGTCCGTGCCCTTCGTTCGCTCCAGGCAAGTACGAATCTACAGCAGGCCGTATGGCATTCCGATGTAAAATTTGCGTGTGGCCTGGCCATTCCCTGTAGAAAATCAGTCGTATGGTAACATCATGCACCCTGATTATGCTGCGCAATACTTTCTCTCTCGCACAGTCTGGTCGGGCCGGGCACACCAGAAGGGTGGTAGAGCCCCCTTCCCCCCTCCTGGGACTTCCCAAGAGGTCAGGGCAGCGTCCGACTGCCTCCAAACTGCAGCCCTGTCCGGGCCGACAGGGCGTTCCGGCCCGGCGGCACGCGTACCTCGCAGACACATAGTCGACATTTCGAGCCACGGTGTAACATCACGGCCTCACGGCTTCAGTAGTCTCCACGCAGGTAAGCCCAAGACGGTCGAGTCGACGAGAGTCGAGTGAAACGTTTTGAGACGACGGCAGGCTATCCTGTTTCCGTGTGCGTGTTGTCACTGTCGCTGTGTTAGTGTCATACTTTTTGCGTTGGGCCTCATATTAATGTGCCACCTTTTCGTGTACTCGCAGAGCATGGAGCACTTGCTGGACGACGTTCTGATAGAGGTGATGCGGTACCTGGACGTGGAGGACCTCCTCGCCTGCCGCCTCGTGTGCAAGCGGCTCGGGGAGCTGAC